AAGGGGCAGCACGGGCCAGCAGTCACCTCTCCCTCCCCTCGTGTGTCCGACTGTGTTTAGACCCAGCAAGATGCTGAGCTCGGGTACCGGAATTCGGCAGGTCATCAGGGAACCCGCTGCAGAAGCTCCCGGCTGAGAGAAAAGCACGGCAGGAGGCCCAGCGCCGTGGCCAGTCGGGGCTGCCCGCTGCGGGCCTGCTGAGAGCGTAGGCAGGAAGTTTCTCCACTGGCCAGGTCGTGGCTGTGCACAGCGATGAGTCGTGGTCATTTCTCCATGGAGCCAGATGCCACTTTGTCTGTGCCCGCTCGAACCTGCTGCAGGGCAGGCATCGTCCACACCCCCCCGGGAGAGGGCCCAGGGGCTGACTCTCAGAGGCCCTGCTGGTCACCCTCGGCCCCACGTCCGCCCCACTGGCCGCCCTCGAGGATTGTGTGAGCTGAGTCAGACCCGCCTCCCGGCCCACTGCGTCTCGGCCAGCCCTGCGTGCCCCCCTCCCACCTCCGCCCCGCATCCCTTCTGCACCCGCAGCCTGCACTGGGGCCCCCGTCTGGCCTCTCACCCCTGCATTCATGGACAGCAGCCTTTGTCCCGCCTGATCTCTGCCGTGCTGGGAACTCAGGGACGGGGACTTCCGGGGAGCCGAGACAGCAAGGACCACGCAGCTCCGGCCTCATTGCACGAAGGAGGGCGGCACCTCCTGCCCCAGCCACGGCGCTGCTGCGGTTGCTCTCGGGCCTCTGGTGCCCGCTGGCCATGGCCGCTGCTGACCAGGCCAGGGCAAGCATGGACCTGCCGACACGGTGCGGGATTCCGTGTCCTGTGTGACCTCGTGGCCCCGTGTGGACGAGGCAGGCTGCTGCCCACAGTGTCTCAGGGGCTGCAGCCTCCCAGGACGGTCCCCAGTGCCCACCTCAGCGGGCGCCAGGCTCTGCGGCTGCGCCCCTCTGTCAGGATTAGGGCTGGGGGCCCCCCGGCTCGGCCGGACCAGGGCAGGGCCTCACCCCCACGGGCCATGGTTTGCCCAGATGCTCCTGGCCTTGGGGGCCGGCAGCACACAGCCTCCATGTCTCAGGCCAGCTTCTGGCCAGGACAAGGTGACCTGGACCTTCCCGAAGGCAGAGAGAGACCAGGGGCAGGGGACCCCGCCCGGCCCCCACCTCACCAGGCAGCCGTGTTGGGAACAGAGCCCCCTTTCCGTCTCAGGGATGGTGCAGGGGCCGCCTGCCCCCCACCACGCTGACTCAGCTCGCTCCCTCTGTGGAGGGGAACGGCCCAGCGCCGGGGCTGTGAGCAGGCTGAGAGGAGGAGAGAAAGCCGCCCCTGGGGTTCGTGCGGGCTTCCCGGCAGGGACGCTGGCTAACCATGAGGAAATAAAAACTTTAGATGGAATGTGTTATTTATAGCAAACGCAACGCCTCGTTATTAGCAATTCTTACACCGAATACACAGGGAAAAAAAATCTTTTTGTTATTTAAATCTGATACGAATACACGAAGAAACCATACAGATGTTAATCTCTGCCTCTCAGCTGCATCCTGGGTAATCATTATTATATTTTATTCTTATTTGGAATTACTAGTAATAGACTGTGTATTTCTGTATGAAATTCAAATCAGGGAACACCAATGAATTGAGATGATTGATATATATATATATACATATATATATATATATATATATAATTTTGGAACCGTGACAATACAAATATTTCTCCCAGAGAAAAATCCCCCAGCTTTGATCGCGATGAGGAGTGTTTGCCACCTAACTGGGCCTGACAAGCCTTCCCATGAGCCCTCCTGGTGGAATCGAAGCAGCCCTTGGCCAGAACCTAAATATCTTTGGGAAATGACTCTAGTTGTGGAATTGTGAAAGGTATCTGCCTAGATTCTGAGATATCTGACTTCCAGGCACATGCCTTTGTGTTTGTTTGTTTGGGGGCCCCGCCTGGCAGTGCTCGGGGTTACCCCTGGCTCTGCCCTCAGGAATCACTGCGGGGGCGCTGGAGCCATGGCACAGCGGGGAGGACGTTTGCCTTGCATGCGGCCGACCTGGGTTCAATCCCCGGCATCTAATATGGTCCCCCAAGTACTGCCAGGAGTGATTCCTGAGTGCAGAGCCAGGAGTAATCCCTGTGCATCGCCGGGTGTGACCCCCAAAGAGCAGCAATAACAAAAAGAGTCATTGCTGATGGTGCTTGGGGCCATGTGGGAGCCAGGGATGGAGCCCAGGTGGGCTGTGTGCCAGGCACGCTCCTTATACATTGCACGCCCTCTCCAACCCTACCACGCGTGCTGTCATGGCACCTACTTGTGTGTACTTACTCCCCACTTCCATCCTGTGTCCTGTGTTCGATTTCCTTTCCTCGAAGTCTCTGAGGCTAAGAAGAGAGTGTGCTGGAATATCTCATGGCTTCCCGGTGGGCTTCCTTGCGTGTCTGTGTGCAAAATATTGGTGGGTTCTTTTGCACGTTTTAAAAAAATAATTATTATCATCTCAGTGATATGTTTCAATTTTTACCATAGTCTAGGTGGTACATAGTGTTGAAGTTCATGCCGTTGACAGAGTAAGTCACTCACCCCCACCGGACGTGCCCGTGACTGCGGCCCCCTGCTTGTCATCTCTGCTTGACCTTCATCTCCCCTCACGCCCCCCACCCCACGTTGCTGGTGACCCGTTTAGTAAGTCAAGGCCGAGGGCTCGCCTTGATGATGGCCCTTCCCTTGTTTAGTGTCTCTGTTCCACAGACCACTGACATCATCAGCTTCTTCCTCTGACTTATTTCACTGAACATAACATCCTCCAGTCCCACCCACGTTGCAGCAAACTGCCTGCTTTGTCTATTCTAACAGCTGCGTAGTACTCCAGTCTGTGCTTTCATACTGCAACTTTTTTCTCCATCCATGAGTTGGAGGATACTGAGTTGTCCCCTACCCTGGCCATTGTACTAAGCGCTGCAGTGGGCCTGTCCCATGCTAAGCTCGTGTTTCTGTGTTGGAGGGGTAGACGCCATTGATGGAAATTGCTGGGCTGAGTGGGCGGTACATCACTATTTTTTGGAGGGGTCGCCACAGAATGAACCAGACAACGTTCCCGCAAGAGTGGACGGGCAGTGTTTTCCCGACATGCACTGGCACAAGCTCAGCCCAGCCCCTCCAGTGGTGCCTCTCGCTGCTGAGAGCCCCGAGCTCATTCTCGTCCTGGTTCGCTGTTCACGTTTCAGTTCCTACTGGCCGTCCTCTGTCTTCTTTGGGGCAGTGTCCGACTGTCTCGTCTCCCTGTCCTTGGAGTGTGGGTTTTGTGGTTGAGCTGGGTGAGAGCTGGACACGGCTGGTGGTGGACAGGCCTGTCACTGTAGACGCCGCTCCTGCCCGTTCGTGCAGCGTGGGGTCAGGGGGATTTGGCCTGGATCCCCGTGGGTTCTTTCTGTCCCCACCACAGGTCACGGTGTTCCTCTCCTGTCACCACCCTGGGTTGTCTGGCCACTCTGCTCCCTGGCTTCTCCTCTGTCTTGTTCAGTCTCAGCATGTGGATTTTCTCAATCTTGAGCTGAGAAATGTTTTTTTAAAAATCACCCCCGTGTTTGTGCATATCCCCAAATCAGCTTTGTTCTCTTTCTTCCACTGACCGAATAGATTCGGTGGCACCCTGTGACTTACACAAAAGTCTCACTTGGAAGATTTTACAGGATAGCAGCTGCAATTCATACTTCTCACAACAACCCCATGGAGGGGGAAATGTGTGACATTAATAATAGCATCGCCATTGGCCCTTCTGTCTTGAACTTCATTAGTGACCCCCCACGCCAGCTGCTTGAAAACATTAAAAATGGGGAGAGATGCCTCTCAACGAGGACTGGTCCTTTCGCGGCCTTCTTGTCAAAGCCACTGTACACAAGGACGCAGAAATGGGGGTCACGCAGCTCGTTCCAACAGCGCAGACCCCAGCCAGGGAAGAGAACACTACAAACGCTCGATGGAAAACAAACAAGCCTCCCTAGCGAGAGTCCGCGGGGTGGTCAGGAGTTGAAAGAAGCAGGTGACGGTCCGGATGGAAGGTTTCTAGGGACACAGAGACCTTGAGCTGGGTTTCAGAACGGGAACCCACGTGAGTTGTGCTCGGGTGCCGTCACCCCCGAAGCACAGGCGCCTACTGCCCCCCTCACTGTGCCCCATGCCCCGTCGGTGCTCATCACGGCACTTGGCTGCTGTTGGCAAGCCAGAGGCGGCCGGCGTGGAGTTTCTGGTCTGCAGAGAAGCGTCAGGAAACACTCAGCTCTTTGGTCTCACAAGCCCGTCTGTGCTTGGGGCCTGTGGATGAGGTCACTGAGCCGGGAAAGACGTGGCCTTGTCAGGCTGCACATGTGGGCTGAGACCCCAGGTTCCACCATGCAGCACCTTAAGAATTAGATACTGCGTGGTTCTGCCGGTGGCCAGGGGCCCGAGCATCCACTCTCTGCAGTTCCAGATGGTTCTTGGTGTCCTATGTGAGGCCCTTGCTCACTGCTGGCTGCCTGGGCCCAGCGGGTGGTCTCCGAACCACCTTCCAAACCGCCTTCCCAGCCCAGCTGAAGGGCATCCTGAGGACTGTCCTCACGGGCAGACATGGGGCTGCTGGATGGACCCTCAGAAATGGCCTGAGTGGGAAACTCCAGAGAGAAGGGGCCAGAGGCTGTGAGCGCGGCCGAGAGCGACAGTATCGGGGCAGTGCCCGCGTGGCCCCCTCCTCCCGCGCGGGGTGAGGGCAGGCCAGGCGGGGCCAGTGGGTGGAGGCTGTGAGCTCGGCGGGTCCCAGCAGACGGCCGTGCCCCGCGTCCCCTCCTCATGCTCCCGGACGAGGCAGGGCGGGTGAGTGGGGTTTCGCTCACCGGGAGCGGTGGTGACACGACCCACGGGGCCACTCCTCACGTGTCCGGCGAGGGCAGGGCGGCAGGGCCAAAGCCGGGAGCCCCCATGCCCGGCGGGTCCAGCTCTGCAGCCGTGGATGTTTCTCTTCCATTTCAGACCACCCCACGCTGCGTGGCCCGGTGTTTCTCCGCGAGCCCAGCCCAGTCATGTTCCCGGTGGACTCGGAGGAGCGGAAGGTGCAGCTCAGCTGTGAGGTGAAGGGGGACCCCCAGCCCCACGTCAGGTACGTTGCTGCGGGGCCGCGGTTTTCACTGAAATCCCAGCGGCTCAGAGGCCGCTGCCTGGAGAAGCTTGAGGGGGGAGCTGGGAGAGCCTGGAACGGGCAGGCTGGGCCCCGGCTCACGGCCCTCAACCATTTCTAGCTGGGGGGACGGATTGCTGCTCAGGGCTTTCTCCTGGCACTGTGCTCGGTGAGCATCCCAGTGGTTCTCAGATACCGTGTGAAGTGCCAGGGGTCAGACACGGGCCGGCCTCCTGTTAACCGAGCACCGTGACTCTCGGACAGTCACTCCAGCGCTGAGCTGACTCTTCCGAACAGCCTCATCTTAAAAAACACACCCTCTTAGGTGAACTACTGCAAAGTCCCACATGCACAGGAGTGGAGAAGTGGGCAGGCCGGGAGCCCAGGGGAAACCCAGACACGGGCGGCAGGTCTCACCGCGGGAGGGACACAGACGCAGAGCTCACTGGGGGAAGGGCTCGGTGCTTGGGGCTTGTTCCTGGCACTGTGAATTTCACCTTGGTGACCCCAGGTCTGGGCGCGGGGTCGAGACCAGCCTGGACCGAGTACAGAGGAGCAGAGCACTTTCCCCGAGAGCCCATGGAGCTCAGTGGCTGCTGGGCTGGGTGGCACCAACAGGAGCGTGAGCTCATGTCCCCCAGGACGGGGAGCAGCGGTGACCCCTCCAGGCTGCAGGCACAGGACCACGAGGTGCAGATGAGATGCGGCTGCCACGGGTCAGCGAGGGGCAGGAGGGACCTGAAGGCTTTGGGTGGTCTCAGGAAGGCGTCGCAGGAGCGGGCAGAGGTGACATTTAAGGGGGAGTGAGGGTGGCCCCGAGGGAGCAAACACCTCGGGCTGAAGATCCCGGGAGGCCTGTGAATTCCAAGCCCACAGGTAGAAATAAAGCTTAGCGGCAGATGGTGACAGCGAAGCCAGAGACAGAGAGCAGAGACACACGGGGACGACTGTGCCGGGAGGGAGAGAGGCCGCCTCGAGGAGACGTGCCCGCAGTGGATGGGCAGGAGGCAGGAGAGGGTCTGCACGGAGCAGAGAGATTAACTGCCGGGTCAGCCGGGGCAGAACACTCGGTAGGAAGGAGAGCAAATGAAATCTGTCTCGGGCAGACAGAGACGCGGAGGTTTGACACCGCAGACGCCGGTGAAAGGAGATTCTGAGAGGCCTCCTTTAAGCAGAATAAAAGTGACCCCAATAGGCTGCCAGAGATTGAGATTCATGAACAAATGATAAGGAAAGCGAACAACACGGGTATTTTCACATAAAAACTGATGGCCTGAAACCAAAAGAACACGAGAAGCATTTTCACGAGAAAAGCTAAAACCTGTGGCAATAATAAAAATAAACTGAGAATGATGTGTTGCAGATTCATTTTCCGTACAGTTAATAATGCTAAAAGGGACAGAGAGGCAGTTCAGTGGGCGGGGAGCTGGCCCTGCATGCCCGAGTTTGGTCCCTGAAACCATTTAAGATCCTCTAAACACTGCCAGGAGTGATCCCTGAGCACAGAGCCAGGAGTAAGTCCTGATCACTGACCAGTGTGCTCCCCCACCAAAAAAAAAAAAAAGAAAAGAAAAGGAAAAAAAAAATAACTGGGCCACTCCCTGACATCCAACACAAATGCCAGCCCGAGGTGACCAGAGGAACCAGCCGGTGACAAGCTCACGGCACCAAGGATTGACTCGAACCCAGACCATGTGATAAGTGAACACTGCTCCCATCACTCAGAGGATAACAGACACGCATATGTGCTCATTTGGAGGAAGAAAATATTCCTCAGAGATGGCAAAAATCATAAATCAAAACAATTGGCTTCGTTAAGGTTCAGAAATTATGGTCATGAGACAAATGTTGAGAGATTGCACATGGGAAGGTGCTATTACTGTCAAGGAATCAGTAACCAACATACAAAAAAAAAGGTCCACAAATCAAAAGGTAAACAAAGAGGAACTGCATCGACACCTCAGTGAGAGACTTGGGTGGGTGCTTCCATGAGAAGGTGAAATACCCAGGAACAGGGAGGGGGGCGCTGGGCTAGAGTGACAGCCAGAGCGACAGAGCAGTGTGGAGGGCACTCGCCTTGCCCAAGGCAAGCACAGACCGACCTTGGCACCTCCCACAGTTCCCCAAGCACTGCCAGGAGCATTTCCTGAGTGCAGAGCCAGGAGTAACCCCTGAGCATTGCCAGATGCGGCCCCCAAACAAAAAGAAAAAGAAAGAAGCCCCTGAGTCCAAGCAGACGCCCATGCAGCCCTGCCCAAGGGACAGACAGCAGGACACCAACGACCACAGTGGCTTCTGAGCGGGACCCCGGGCCACAGGCACAGCAGCCACGGTGTGGAGGGGTGAGTAAGGAGCGGCTCCGACGGGGAGACAGAGCGTCCAGGCCAGAGAGTGACGTCCAGAGAGGCGGGAAGGAGCCGCAGGAAGAAAATCCCGGAGCAGAGAAGCCAAAATGAGAAACGGCACCTGGCCGTGAAGGGGCGGTGGTTGGAGTCCCAGCGGGGACCGGGGCCATGAGATGCTTCTGAGATCCTGGCTATCTCTGAGTTCTTTCTGACTTGCCTGTGCCTTACAGGCATTATTTTATTTCTATTTAAATGTAATGGCTAAGGGGTTGGAGCAATAGCACAGCGGGTAGGGCGTTTGCCGTGCATGCGGCCGACCCGGGTTTGATTCCCAGCATCCCCTATGGCCCCCCGAGCACCACCAGGAGTGATTCCTGAGTACAGAGTCAGGAATAACCCCTGAGCATCGCCAGGTGTGACCAAAAAGAAAGAAATAAATAATTAAATAATAAAATAAATAAATTTAATGGCAAAAACTATCATTAAACTGATAACCAGTTGATCACAATGAATGACAGAATAACGTTTAGTATATGTCATGGGCCAAGGGACTTGAGGAGAGTCCGGTCATTAGGAAGGGGTGCGTGGATGCGGGATTCGAGCAGAGGACAGGGATGCTGGGGTCGTGTCCTGTCCATTCCCTCGCCCACCCACTGGCAGATTCTCCGACCACATAGACGGTGAAGAGCACCGGCTGGTCTTGGGCCACCGCAGACTGAACCATTCAGGGCACACGGAGGAGGTTCTGGAATCATCCAGGTTGAGAATCACAGTTTCCACAAGGGCTTCCAGCTGTGCCCAGAGTCGGGATGTATTTTAGGGTTCTGAAAACTAGGTCACCTCGGAAAAGTGTTTAACCCGCTGACTTGAGCCGCTGCCAGGACCCAGCGCCAGACGCTGGAGGAGACGGCCCAAAGTAATTACGACTCATGTGTCCCGGCCGCGTGCTGGAGGTCAGAGCGGCTGGCGGGGGACAGTCCCCTAGAGCCGGGCAGCCACCGTGCCCACTGAACATGTGAGTGAAGGGTGGTCGGGGTGTGGGGACCCAGAGGAGACCCGCCGGGTGGGGGTGAAAGAGCCGATGCCCGCGGCACAGGAGAGGAACCCGCCAGAACATGGAGGTCCCCGGCTCCTGGCCCAGGGAACCAGGAGAGAAGCGCAGATTGGGCTGACGGTTCTCTCTGGACTGTGCGGCCAGGGCGGGCGCTTAAAGCATCCTCCCAGCCAGCTCCCTTGCCGCACTGTGGGTCTGGGGCAGGATGGACACTTGGGCCCCCTCCTGGGGTGGCCAGCTCAGAACCCCCACTAGGACAGGGTGCCCCGTCTTTAGTGTTTCCTACCAGGAAATGTTGGGTGCAAGAGGCAGGGGTCCGGAGCAATAGCACAGCGGGGAGGACGTTTGCCGTGCATGTGGCCAGCCCAGATTCGATCCCCGGCATCCCATAGGGTCCCCCGAGCACAGCCAGGAGTGATTCCTGAGTGCAGAGCCAGGAGGAAGCCCTGTGCATCGCCGGTGTGACCCAAAAAGAAAACAGACGAACAAAAAAAAAGAGGCAGCAGCTCTGGGTGCTTCCGGCACGGTGTGAGCGGGCCTGGGAGGAGCAGGCGGCGACACCGAGTCTCAGCGCCCCAGTGAGCCCTAAACAAAAACGAGTTTTGCAGCACAATTTAGCAAGTGGCCGCTTTATTTCCCCCGGACGGTGCCCTTTAACCGCCACGGCTTCTGCGACAGTGTGCTTCTGGGCGCGGGCCTGGCTCTGCTGGTTACAGAAGCCTGTCACGGTCCCGGGTCCCAGGTCGGGGGCGGGGGGAGGCTGGCGCGGGGTCAGAGGCACAAGCCGCTGCTCCCCGGGACTCGGCTTCCCTTTGTGCCTGGCCCCTTTCTCAGAACATAATAGTCAGCTCGTCCCTCCGCTAAGAGCTGAGTGCGCGTCTGGCTTCCCCAGCCCTTTCTGGCTCTCACCCGGAGGCTCTGAGGCTGGCGCGTGAGGGGCATACGAGAGGAGCGCTCACGGGGGTGTCGGCGTCGCACCCGGCCCCCCGCGCGCCCCGCTGACCTCTCCTCTCGGCCCCCGTTCCCCAGTGGAGACTTCCCTTTTCATTGCTCCCTGCCCCTCAATTTTGAAAGGATTGACCCAGACCCAGAAAAATGTCAGAAGTTTTGACTTGCGCTGGCTTCCTGCAGGCCGAGCTCCCCGCGGACGGGGGCTCCCCTTCCCGTGCTCAGCTGCGCTGGCGGGCAAGGGGAGGTTCCCGGCACAGCGGGCACCGCCGCCCGTACTGCTCAGCCGCAGCTCCCACAGAATTCCAGGTCAGAGCAGCCCCCCTGCCTGAGAGTCAGACTGCGGCCGTGAGGAGAGAAAGAGCCAGGCCAGGCGTCTCCGGGGTGGTGCCCGCAGAGCTGCAGGCCGGCCGCCCCCACTCACGCCACGTGGGCCCTGGACACTTTCTCTCCCGGGTCCCGACACGCTGCCTCTGCTCACAGCACCCAAACGATTCCTCCGGACACGGGAAATGCAGTGAGACCCTCGGGGCGGGGCTGGGTGGAGGTGAGGCCCTGACCGGGCTGGCCTGCTCTTCCATCCCACTCGGCCGTCCCTGGGCTCCCGGGACGGAGACGGCTCTGGCCATTCTGAGCTCCTTCTTGGTCCCACCCCTCAGAGGCCCGAAACACCACACAGCCTTCCCCGCACTGACCCCCCACACACACACCTCCTCAAACGGTCTGGGGTCTGTCCTGGTGAACCCTCGGCTATTGCTTAAAGTGAGAGTAACGGCCAAGACACGGCCAGCTGACTCAGAGAAGGGATTGGCCAGGCAGAGCTGCTGGCCACAGACCGTGGTGCCCACCAGCCACGGTCCCCTTTCCACTGCTCATTGCTTTCTCGTCACATCAGAACATTCACTGTCGCACTGGGGGACGGTGTCGTTGACTGATGCCCAGCTTCCGCGATCAACCTCACACCCCAGCTGCAGCGCCCACCCACCAGCCTGCCCTCCCACTCCCCTCCTGCTCATACCCACTGTCCAGCACGAGGAGGTAGCAGCCCAGAGCTGTGTGAGATGCAGAAGGGGACGTGGGAGGTCCAAGATCCAGGGCACCCCCAGGGGAGCCCAGCAGAGAGAAGCTGAGGCCATTCATGGGGCAGGATATCTGCAATCACTCGGACACAGAAGGACACACGGATGGTGTGCTGCCACGAGGACACAGAGGTGTAGAGAGTGTCCTGGCACGTGTGGCCAGTAGACTACCTTGAGCAGTGTGGTACCTCGCGTGGACACAGAGAGCTCCATCTGAAGGAGAACTGTGGACGGCCCACTCCGCTCCTGTGACTGCTCCCTGTCACTCTGTGCCTCGGTTTCCCCTCTGGGAGCTGCTCCCCTGCTCTTTCTGTTCCCCAAGACTCTGGATTTGTCGGGGTGCGCAGGGTGGGAAGCTGCCGACTCCACAGTCGCTGACCCTGGCCTCACCCCCAAAGTCCCTGAGTGTTCAGACAATTTCCTACTAGGCAGTTGGGTTACAACGGTTTGAAATGTTATTGCCTTAAAATGAATTTTGTTGCAACAAGTTTGCCGTTTGATTGTGTGACATCCACTAAAAGTATTTTATTGGTCCAAGTGGGCAGAGCTGAGACACCTGAGCCAAGAGTGGGAACAAACAGACCACGAATTCCGTCTGCCTCAGGACCCTGGGGACAGTGCGGGCAGCATGTGTGCGTGAGGACTCAGCACCTGCTCGGGTGCGGCCAGCGGGGGTCAGCCCAGGGCCCTGCGTGGTGGTCAGCCACTTCAGCCTTGAAGAACCCTATCAAAGCAGCCCGCTGCAATTTCTTCAAATACACAGCAATCTTCCACAAAGTGGCACCCTGCTCAGCTCCAGGGCCATTTCACGAACTGCAAACCAGGAGAAGCGCCTTCATTGAGGGTCAGAGCTGCCAAGACAGGGTGGGACGTGTCCGAAGGGAAGGGGGGCCTGCCTGGGGGCCTCCGGCTGTGAGGCGTGACTGTCCCCCTTAGGTAGCCCCCGAGGGATCCTCCCAAGAACTCCCGTAGCCAGCAGGGCTGGGGTGAGCCTCTCATTTTTATTGTTGCTGTTTTAAACCACAGTTAACAAAGAAATCGCAGGTGGTATTTATGCTGTGTAGAGTTTTTCATATATTTTTAGACAATCCAGAAATATTGATCAATGTTACAAGGCTTTATCTGCTGGCATTTTTATATTCCAGGTGGACGTTAAATGGGACCGATGTTGACACTGGCATGGATTTCCGCTACAGTGTCGTTGAAGGCAGCCTGTTGATCAATAACCCAAATAAAACCCAGGATGCCGGCACGTACCAGTGCATCGCGGCCAACTCGTTCGGAACAATCGTCAGCAGAGAAGCCAAGCTCCAGTTTGCCTGTAAGTACCAGTTACGTCATGCCACAAGTGTTATTCTGGGCTTCCAAGACCTTACCGATAAGCCTTCAATAGCCGTTGCTTTTGAAGACATGAAACAGATTCAAATCTTGACTGATTTTCTTCACCGTTTTCTGTGTTTGGGGAGTGTCTTGTTCGGAGGGTGAATTGGGACTGTGAGTAGGACCCTGAGCACTTGAGACCAAGTGGGTGACGGCGGGTTTTCACATGCTCCTGTTACACATGGGAAGACCAACACACAGCAAATGACACAGAACTGACAGAGGGGGGTGTAAGCCAGCCGTTGCGCTGCAGTAACTAAACAGGAAAGATGAGAATTGCTTGAAAGATGAGAATTGAATCGTATAGCTCATCTTTGTTTTTTTTTTAATACACTTGTTAATCAGTAAGTCTCTTTTCCTCATTTGATGGCACTATAGCACTGTCCTCCCGTTGTTCATCAATTTGCTCACGCGGGCACCAGTAACGTCTCACAATGAGACTTGTTACTGCTTTTGGCATATCAAATACACCACAAGTAGCTTGCCAGGCTCTCCTAATATCATAGTGATATTAGAAAAACTTAGAGGAGTTTGTTTGTACAAATAACTTGATTTAGATAGAAAACCAAACATTTTTCTCAACAAAAAACTTCAAAATGTTTAAGATGGAATTTCCTGGTCTATTTTAGGGTCTCCACAAAACAGAACTGGGGCAATGGAGGCAGGGATCAATTTTTTTGTTTGTTCTTGTTTGGGGGCCATACTTCGCAAAAGAATGAAAAATTCAGAAACAACTCCTGGAATGACAAAATACTAAGTAGCACTTTTATATTAAACCTTTATATTTCCAGCATAGTGCGTTATAGAAAATACAAAATTCCATATCTTGGAACAACCCACTAAAATGCGTTCGCACGTGTGTCCCAGAAAACGAGGCTTAGGGGGAGCACTTGAGGAGCAAGCCCACGGGCCTGGGCAGGGGGTGCATCTGAGGACAGCCACCCGCAAGGGCACACGTGTGCTGCACTGGACGGCTCGTGTGTCCTCACGTGATCCTGTTCCTGCTGTGTATAACCCGGCCCATGTATCGCAATTCTCTCAAAGGGTTCATAATTACAAAATCTGTTGGCAGTAACACTGTAGAATATTGTCATTAACAAAACCCTCTCTGGGGACTCAACAGCAAATGCTCTGAATATCAACACTTTGTTATTGCCTTTGGCTGGCATTTTTATTAGCTGGGCAAAGACTCTTCTAAGTCTGAGGTATCTGTGGGAATCGGGAATTGTTTTGCATGTGAATGTTCCCGAGATCGTCTTTTGAATACTTTTTGGGGTCTAATATGTCTGGTTGTGTTCTAAGAACTTGACTGTCCATTTCTCTTTGATGGAGTCTGGTATCCACCTCTTCTCTGGAAAGGGCAAATGAATCCTGTTGCATTTTCCTTAGAAAATAGTCATTGAATCATGTATTCTCAGAAAAGGGACAATTTCTGTTTTCTGTGACTCACACTCACTTCTCTGACATTTGGATTAGATAATATGGGGAATGTTTTTTATTTTGGGGGGAGTTGTTTAATTTTTTTCAGTTACAAAGTTGTTTGTGATTGGGTTTTAGTCATATGATATTCCAACAAGCAAAATAAATGGTTTTTATAAAGCAATGGTAGCCGCAGTAGACATGTGTATATGTGATGAGAGAGAGAGCGAGGGAGGGAGGGAAGGAGGGAGGGAGAGAGGGAGGGAGGGAGGGAGGGAAGTTTGGGGCCGAAAGCATAGCAGGGAGGGCACTTGCCTTGCAAGCAGCTATCAGAACATCATCCCCAGGACCACACATGGTCTCCCAAGCCCCGCCAGGAGTGATCTCTGAGCACAGAGCCAGGAGTAAGCCCTGAGCACTGTCAGTTGTGACTGAGAGAAAGAGAGAGAGAGAGAGATTGGCCCCTGCTTATTTTTTTCTAACCCACAGCTTTTAAACACTAACTTAGCCGCTCTCAGGACCGTTGCTCTGTGCAAGCCCAGCACGTGGTTGCAGAAATGCTGCCAGGCACCCCTGACCCGCCTCAGGCATGTGGGTGTCCCTGGATTTGCCTCTCCCGGACGGCAGCTCAGACTGGGGTGGGGGAGGGGGGCTCCGAGGACCAGCCTGGCCGCACCACCTGCCGGGACACCCTGGCCCAGGACCCTGCAGCCTGAACCCAAACCCGCCTCTCTCCTTTGACAGTGAGCTAGGTCTGGGCTTCCTGTGTGATTCCGGCTAAACCTAAGATGAGTGCCAATGAGACCAGGTCCAGGATTCTTTGCTTCCCCGGGCACTTGATCCAAAAGCGTCCTCTCAATCTGTCTGTCACTGATGCCTCTAGAGCATGTGTCTCTCTTTCTGCTGAGCACCACGACCTGCAATAGACCTCACTGTAAGCTTCTTTGCAGTTCATGCACCTAACAGAAAGGTCCCTTTTACAGAGCCCCAAAGTCATAACTTTATTTTTAAAAATGCAGTGATGTGAAATCGAGGATTGATTTTCCATGCATTCCTATGAATATAGAACTTCACAAGCATGACCTTTTTTAAAACTAAATTCAGAATATGTTATCTGTCCCTCTCAAATTCACCTCCTGAGCCACCCTTTGTTCCATCAGAGCTAAAATTCTTTAAATATTTTGTTATCTGACCTATCGATCATTCCCCAAGTTTAATGTCAGCAGAAAATTTGATTAGCACGTCTCCGTTGAAACCCCCGTGGCCAGCAGTGACAGAGCAGGACAGGCCATGTGCCAGCCAGTGGGGGAAGTTCACTGAGATGAAATTGAATCGTCAGATCAATACGTCCCATACACACAATTTCGTTCAGCAATGAGCTTGCTCAGACGCACAAGGATTGCGCCCAGCTCCTCTTGTTCTCTGACTCATGTGAACCCTTGCCCAGCACCTCCCTGGAGGGGACATGGGGGCCACCACATCTGTGTCATTCACCAGCTGGCTTCCGTGTCTGCCTGGTATGGCCTCCAGCCACATACCACGAGGCTGCCCGAGAAGTCTTTGCAGCCAGCACGTCTGTGAGATCATCCACCTGCTACTTTATACCTCTAGCTGTCCTTGGGCGAATCTCAAGTTCATGACCCACAGGTTCACTCTAATTTCTGGAAATCGAGAAATAGTCTCTGGCACGAGAACTTAATGCTCTTGTTCCTCTGCCCAGTGTGTCTCCGTCCCGACCCTCCAAGATCCTCCATGCCACCCTCCTTTCCGTTAGGGAACCAGCTCGTCTTGGGGTTTCTGTTCCTTCTCATCATTTGCAATGATCTTGCCCATCGATGCCCTAGAGAGTCCAGAGCACACGTGAACATGAAGGAACCTTTTATAGCTCTTCCGTAATCACCTCAGCACAGACCCAGCCATGAGCCTGAGTAAAGTTCTCCTACATTTGATGTATTTTTATAAACACACTCTTGCTAAATCATTTTCTGCAGTTCAACTCTATCATCCATCTCAAGTTTCTAGATTTTTTTCCTATCCTTGACATGAAAAATAAATCCAGGTGCGGGAAAGATAGCATAACAGGCAGGGCACTTGCCTTGCACGTGGATGGCCCAAGTTCGATTCCCAACACCCCGTATGGTCCCCCAAGACACAGGAGTGACATCTGAGCACAGGGCGGGAGGAAGCCCTAAGCACAGCCAGATATGACTCCAAACAATCCAAATTGGGAACAGGAGGAATCAATCAAGCAGAGTGGATGATCTCATCAACATGCTGCAAAGCGTTCTCAGGCAGCCTCGTGGTACATGACGGAAGGCCACGCCGAGCAGACAGGGACAGGCGGAGAGTGAGCACAGATGTGGTGGCCAGCACGTCCCCTCCAGGAATCCAAATCAATCCAAAACTCCAAAGACGTTGCCTTTATTCAAAAGACATTTATACTTGGTTAGTGTAAGGTGCTTTGCTCCGTGGTGACGGAGGCAGCGGGAGCAATGCCTTCTGAGTATCCCTGAGCGATGTCTTCCCCCAAGCATTCACGTAATAATTGGGAAAGGGAAGTTGCATTCTGACCATCATTACAGTGCCGTAATATTCAAGGGAGAATATTTCTCCATCTATAAACCTGATTTTATGGCAGAACTGGACCTTAAATGTCTCCTGGTTTGTATCTTCTTAAGGTAAAATTGAAGGTTGGTTAACCAGACTGTTTCTTGTTATTTTCCTGCTTACCACACAGTAGAGTCAGACAACCCCTCAGCCCACTTCAGAGACCCCTGGCTCTTAACTGCTCTAGCCAGAGCCCATATTCTCTAGAAGGTTCCATCCGTCTCCAGCCCAGGCCCCGTTTCCAAACCTCATTCGTAGATATAATGGGCTTTGACCATTTGGATCTTCTGGTCTCGCACCATCATTCGACCTGCTTTGTTTGGTTTGTTGGAAACCACACCCGGCCGTACTCAGGGTTCTCCTGGGCATTAGGCTCAGATGTCCCTTCCAGCGTGCCAGGGACCAAACCCGGGTGGGCCGTGTGTAAGGCAAGTGCCCACATGCCCATGACCGCTGTGTTTTCTCTTTGAACCCTATTGTGTTTGAAATTTTTATCTCAGACGCTGTGGCATGCGGATCTCCCATTGGTAGGGTTCCATGCATGACACATTGCACCAGACCCTGCACCAGAGGGTCCACTTCCCTCCGCCATTCCCCGTGTCCCCCGAGCCCCTGGGGTGGGCTGCCCTACTGAAGGTTAGTTCTGTTGCGTTGGGTGTTTGTTAACCCCCTGCCGTGTTTCTTTATACTGCACGCATGCGAGGGCCGTTCTGCCTGTCTCTCTTTCTGGCTGACTCCCCTCAGCGTGATGCTCTCCAGATCCATCATGTGGCAGAAAATCGCATGATTTCATGTTTCCTTATGGACGAGTAGTGTTCCCCTGTGTTGACTGGAGTCCCTTTGTCCAGTCCTCTCTTCTTGGACCCTGGGGCTGCTTCCAGATGTTGGCTGTTGCGGATGGGGCCGCCATGGGTT